CATGTAGTTTTTTTTTTTTTTTTTTTTTTTTATCTAAAGCATGTTTCAGAATGTAGGTCAGATCTGGTTATTTTGTGTTCACCGATACAACTTCTTTTTGAAGAGATAAATCTTCACTTAACTTTCCTTCGATACTTCTTGTAGGAAAAGAGCTATAAAATTTTTGCGCGCGTGTGCACGCACACAAACAAGGGTATTTCTGTATATATCATGATTGATATTCGTTTGCGTCGCACGTGTAGAGTGCGTGGCGCGTACAATTCCCGTGCACAAGTCTCGCTGTCTTTTAATTCTTCATGTTCTCGCGATCGTGACGATTATCTCGAAAGAGTTTCTCTTTGTTACGCGGAACACAAAGAAAAGCAGAAATGAGAGATACATTATGCATTCTCCTGGTTACGATTTCTCCGCTAAAATTAAAACATTTTCTCTCGTGTTTATTATTTTACGACATATATATTATGTATGAAGAATGGCGGATGATTTTTTTTTTTTTTTTTCGTCGTCGGAGCGAGATGATATTAAATATATCTACACACAGACCTCGACATAGGTAATTGTCGGAGAGGGGAAACGCTTGCGCGTGTAAAATGGAAGGAAGTTTTTTCCCTCTAAACTCACAAAGTGCGTTTTAGCATCGTTAACCCCACAATAAATACGTGTCAAGGTCTTTTTTGCATGTCCACCCATTGTTTTTCACGCGCGAATGCGCGCGTCGAGAATTATCACTTGCAAATATGGGCAGAACGTGAGAAAATTGAAGCTCGTAATTCCTGGAAAAAACATTGCCAGGTTCGTTTGCACAGATTAAATTGAATTTGATCTGGACTTTTAACAAATAAGTTTCTTCTTCTTCTCTGAATTGTTTTTTCAAGTGGAAAAGTTTTGCAAAAGTGGAACATTTATAATTACGCGTGGCAATTTTTTTTTGCAGTTGCAATTACTATCGCGGCATTCTGTGAAAAATGAGAGCTGCAAGATATTAAATGTCCGACAGAAATAATTTCTGCGTATTGTAAAATTAAAATAGAACGATTATCTCACTCTCATTGAATCGGAATTAAAATTGAAAAATAGATTGTCATATGACATTTAACATCTCGATTGCGATGATCAAATAACGCTTAAAGTGACTGTGCATATGATATCTATGCAGTTTATCGTTCTTACATTTATAAAAAAACTCTGTACATAAAAAAATCAAATCGTAATTGCATTATTTACTCGTGACAATCTGCGCCGTCACATCTATCTCTGTAATCTGAAAGATAAATGTATTATATATTGTGACTGATAGATTTATTGCGATCGTATATATTCAGTTTTAAAACGCATAGTGCCGTATTGAATATCGAGCTTCCCGAAGGTATTTCTCCGTGAAAACTTGGCGAAATTCTGGCGAAGATAAATT